ATAGATAGAAAACTAAATCCCAGAAGTAGTGAAATCATGAAAATATAATTATATACATGTGTATATAATTAATAAGAATAATCATAAAAAACTATTACTATTATTACTACTACTACTACTAATAATAATAATAATAACAATAATCAGGAGAAAAAAGTAGTAACAAAAATAATATATATATATATATATATATATGTATATGTATATATATATATATATATATATAAGTATTGTTATATACGTACATGTACATATACATAATATGCATATATATATGTATATGTGAAAATATATGTATAAACATATATAAATTTATTTACTGCATATGTGTGTTTTTTTCCATATGCACTGCGTCTCCAAGGCTCACGGTGTCCGTCTCGTCAAGCAGAACGGACAAGGAGCGTGGAAAGCACAAGATGGGCTACTGGACAGCATGCTGCGCTCGTGTACCAAGTACATATAGACCTCACGCAAGCTTAGGCTGGCGAACGAGGCAGCAGCTGCAGGAGATGTACGGCGAGAGGGCTGCGAACGCTCTAGTCGAGCGCAAGACTCGCCTTGGACATGTACGTGAACACCCGGACTTTCCAGGGGATCAGACCATGCTTCTGTATTACGCAGCAGACCTGCAACAAGTAAGTGCACCGTAGGCAGCAGGAAGGTGTGTGCGCACATATGTATTTAAGGTCACGCTTGAAATGTCGCACTCCCACATCGAAGAGAGCGAGCAGCGCATCGATATGAATTTGACAGGGGAGGCGGCGGCTGGATCGGACGCAGCGCACGTGCTTGGAGAGGGGGCAGCGGATATGCTTAACGGCAGCAGCATGCAGCCAGGGATGGCGATAGAGGTGCCACAAAAGGGCAAAGGCAAAGGCAGGGGAAAGGGCAACGGGCAAAACAAAGGGGAGGAAAAGGGCAGGGGAAAGAAGAAGGACGAGCCGTGCTTTGCCCGCAGCAGCAGCGTTTGCATTATAAATTTTTCGTGCGCAGGCACGATGAGTTGTTGTCGTTTGCACATGTGTTCTGCGTGCCACGCGTCGGGGCACACCTAGCCAATCCAAGGTTGCCTGACGATCCTTTCAAGGCTGGCCCGATCATGAAGAGAAACCTGATGACCCACTTGTCGCAGTGCAAGATGTGGCCGGTTCTGCTGAAGCCCCTTAAGCACCAGGGAAGCTTGAGCGGCGAGGTTGCACTATATAGCTGGCATGAGTTAATGCGATGCCTTTCCAACCGGCTGCGTGCCATATAGCTAGCAGCTGCGAGGCAAGAGCCTCACCGCGCACATCGCCGAGCTGGAAGCGTCATTTTTCCAGGTGCAAACGTACACCAAGCAGGTGCTCCTTACGCCTTTTCGTAGATATATGTAATATATGTGTATATGTGCCATGTGCACCACGTGTGTGTGTGTGCTAGTTGTAAAATTGCGCAGGCCCAGAACGACATGGAGAATGTGAACGCGGAAGCCTACGCAGCATCCATCAAACTTGCGGTCCAGCGCCTGGACCTTTACTTCGAGGACGCCGACTCGGCTGCCAAGATTTGCAAAGAAAAATCTGGACGCAAAAAGAAGGCGGGGCCCGGTGATCACAGTAGCATGCTCGATTGAAACACTTTGCGCGCGATCGAGTGCGCATGGGTTGCCATGACGTCGGTTATTTGCTGCAATGCATGCAGGACTCGGACGATGATGCCTGATCAGCCGCGGTGAAGCGCTTCATCGCGCTGCACACGTGTGTGCGCACGATTTCCGGACATTTTGCTATAGCATGCATGGTGTGGTGTAGCCACGTACCATGATAATTTGCCACGTGTGTGAAAATTTCTGCTCACACGTACCATGATAATTTGCTACGTGTGTGAACATTTCTGCTCACACGTCGACTGCCTTTGAAGTTGAAATTCAAACTTTAAATCCGGGGAAAGCCGCTCAGCTCTCGATTGAGATGTTGAAAATGCCGCGCCTTATAGGTATCCAGTGTCTGTGGGCAGTGGGGTCTTCCCATTAAAATATGAGGATTTTTAATCTATACTCATTGGGATCTCTAAATCACATAAGCGCATTCTTAGTATACTGTAGTTTATATAGTGTATATATATATATATCACTTGAGCGCTTTAAGCGCTGCATGAGGCATATATGCAGAGTACTTTAAGCGCTGCATGTGTATGAAGCGCTGCATGAAGTACCTACATGATATACACATATAAATAATGATAAAGATTAAGTGTATATATATAGATTACACTATATAACATTATTTTGGGGCCACCATAAAATGTTTACAGCACATGATCTCGAACCCTAAGCCCGAGAATGTTAACCCCAAAAGCCCAAAAGGGACCCCAATTTGGATAAGTTATAAAGACATACGAAAAAAATGTATTTTTATATATTAATTGATAAAATATATACATGTTGTATATACATACCTCATATATACTAGGTTTGCACACAGGATCTCGAGCCATTATTGTCATACAAAGAACTCTAGCAACAGTTTGCTCCCCTGCGCAGATGTGGAGCTGGCGCGAAGTCACGACGTCGACAGCGAGGAGGACTGGCTTTAAGTGTGCGGTCCAGAATTTTGAGGGGGTGGAGCTTCAGGCCTGTTCAAACGTACGCAAAGCTAACCCTGGCCCGGCCGGGTTTTTGGAAGTTCTTGAAGTTTCAATTTCTGGGGCTCGGATCTTGAGGATGGCCGGATAAGACTATCTAGATATACTAGATGTTTTTGGCGTTCCGAGAGTGAGTAAATTGTATATACGTGTATACATATATGTGTATATATATAATGTATATGTGATAAAAACTATAATGTACATTATATAGAAGTAATACCCCGCACGTTGTATCCCAAAACTTACTTTCCGGCACCCGATATACAGCGCTGCTCGTGGATCTCGCGCTCCACATATCCTCGGCACGCGGCTGAGTGGGCAACCGTTCGTGGAATCGACGATGAGTTTTCTCGTGAGTGGCTTCTGCTCGACCAGCAGCAAGCCTCGAAGCGCCGCGCCCTGTAAATGCGAACGTCCTCCCAAAGTGTTTCCCAATCATCACGGGATGGGGCCAGGTCGATGTAGAAACTCAACCGACCGAGCAACAGCGGGCAGCGAGCAGCAGTGTGGATGGAACCGGTAGCGCACAGATGCACAGATGCACAGCTGTAGGGTCGTCCTCTGTGCGGACGTAGTGCAGGGTGGCTTCCAACAGCTAGGAACCGCTCTTCTTGTTCGATATCCCGGAAGTGTTCGAGAACACGCCTAAACCTTAAACCCTAAACCCTTAACCCTGAACCCTGAACCCTCAACCCTATGTTTAGGGTTTATAGGGTTTAGGGTTCAGGGTTCAGGGTTTAGGTTAGGGTTTAGGCGCCCCGATTCGTTAACTCCATGGCTCCACTCAGCTTAGCCTGACTAATATAGCGTGTGAGTGCGACGCAGAAAAAATTCCATGGGTGTCGGCATTTACATGGATCGCGAGCGCTATTTCAAGCGCTGACATATCTTTAGGGTCCGTGAAGATACATAGCGCAGTGATGTAGCGAGCTGAGGGAAACCAAAGCATTATATACTGGTAGCCGCCATGAAAACAGGGAACCCTCTCACAGGCATGGTTGTATTATAGTACCCCGATATTCCCGGGAATGCCCAAGAGAAGCAGCGTATGGTACCAGAACCCTTACAATTTAAACCCTCATATCCCTACATAATAAATCAAAAAATTTATATATATATATATATAATCATATATATACATACTCTATTTCCATATATATATATATATATATATACATGTCATAAGTATAAATACTAATATGTATATATATATATATATGGGTGTGTGTATGTATCTATACTGATATAGTCTATATGTTAAAATATACTGGTTCACTATAGCTATCTATCTATCTATCTATCTATATATATATATATATACATACATGTATATATTAGTATATCAGGCCCAAAACTCGGTACGTCGCGGGGATTTAATGTTTCGCCCTCACGTGGGGCTGCGCAGGAGCAGCTCTACAATGACATCTCGGCTTCATCCGGGGCCCGGCGCAAATCCGATGACGCTGCAGCTCGGGCTGGCTCGAAGCGGATTCGTTCACGAGGCGCAGGAGCTTTAAGCAACATTACGCGAGTCATTTGAATCAGTGTACGAACATGAAGTGCGCGCGCGGGGTTTATGCTGCAGGTTCTGGACAAGCCCGCGCCGAAGCTTCGCAGCGTGTGGACGTCATATCATCGAGTCCAGAGCCAGATCGAAGGCTTCCGGTGCTGAAGCCGCAGGCCTCTTAAGGGGTTAAGAGTTTTGCACGCATGCGCACAGCCTGCGCAGATGGCCCTATAGGTGTCGCAGAACCCTAAACCCTAAACCCTTACCTTACCCTATATTTAAACTGCATGTAAACCCTAAACCCTACAAACCCGAAACCCTGCAGCTACAGGCCATAGACCTGGATCTGGCGCAGACGTTGGTTTACGACTTCTTCGCAGGCCAATGCCCAGCCTGCAAGGCTGGCGGGTGTCCAACAATTAATAATTGGCATATATTAATATTATATATGTATATATTATACGTTCTAAATTTCATTTAAATATCGCTTTTCAGATAATATATATATATATACATACATAATTAATTATGTATGTATAGTATCTAGTTTATAGTATATATAGACTCTATATATATATATATATAGCATACTTTTTTAGTTATATAATGTAGAGAGATAGCGGTATAAACCTGTATGTAAGCTATAGACATTTCATCATTGATTTGTGTGTGTCGCCCTGCTATACAAAGCACCTAGGTGCAGAAACTGGCAGCCGGTGCCGTGCAGCACACGAGAGTTTGCGGTGGCAGGACTCCGACCTCTTCACTTTTGTTTAAGCTGAGCAAGATTGCTGCGTCTGGCAAGCACCCATCGAACGCGGAGCGAGATCTCCACCGGATTCTGCTGGATACGGCTATCAAAGCTGCAATGGAGTACGAGGACGTCAGGTTTTTGGATCCTGCAACAGGTGCGGTGAAACCCACCAAATTTCCTTTCATATATCCCGACACGCTTGCTTGCAGCATTTGGCATCTGGGAGAGGAGTACTTCAGATATTTCTTTCTTGGAAATCAGGATGCCGGGGCGTTTTGGCAGCATGTGGCTGGAACTTCCTGGGCCAAACCAGCATTGGAAGCTTTGCCTGCAGGGATCGACCGAGGGAAACTGATTCCTGTCAGTTTTTACGGCGACGACGTGCACACGTACAAAGCCACAGAATGCGGGGTCATCTCCATCCTCGCATGGACGACGGACTACCTAACTGCAATGCATCCGTCGTTCCACAGGTACTTTCTCATTGCGGGCTTCAGCGAGTACCTACAGTGTGTGCACACGTGGCCTGACATCATGGAACGATTGGTGGAACGGTTCACTCGGCTGGTGAGCGATGCAAACTGGCCATGGTGCGCCAAAGGGTACAAGTTCCATATGTCCTCGTGCACAGGCGATCTTAAGTGGATCAAGGAGCGCTTCCAGGTCTTCGACTACAACGCAAACGACTTTTGTGCCTATTGCAGCGCTCGCAAGATAGACCCAGACTGCCCCAGCAACACTCTTTCTGATTTTCGCGAAACAGCGGCGCACCGACGTCACCGCTTTGGACATGATGATTTTTTGGCTACGACGCCAGCAGCTGAAAGCATCCTGCCTGTGCATAATAAGTTTTCTGGATATATCTATTGCAATGTTAACGCAAGCTGATTGCGAGCGCATGTGCGCTGCATGCATGCAATGAGGACACCCGATCTTTTCCATACCTGGCTTCAGATATGAGCGGTTTCAGCACGACCCTCTCCATGGGCAGTTCTTGGGAACAGGGAAAGTGTGCAACGGCTGCTGGGCTTAATTGGGTACGTTTTGCAACCCACGCTGCGTGTGTTAAACACATATATATACATATATATACGCGCTATACACATACACTTATACAATTAAGGTAGCATGCTCGTTTACCTGTGCGAACGTGGCTTCTTTGGTCCCATGACTGGTGACTATGAGAAAGCGTTGGCCGCTGGACTCAGCGCTGCATACAAATCTTTCATGGCGTGGAACAAACAGCATGGCCAATCTGTTTTGCATCCACGGTTCACGCCGGCGAGACTTTGCCGCAAAGGGAGGACGCAGTTCCCTTGCTTGAACGCAAAGGGAGCGGCCTCGAAGCGAATTTCGTTTTGGCTGGCGGCTGTGGGCACAGAGTTTGCGTCCCGGCCAGGCGCTACTTTGCTTGACAAAACGTGCGCAACATGTATGGTTAGCTATGTGGAATTCTTGAGAACTTTGGATGCCGCAGACTTGCTGCTGGACGCGAGGACGGCGAAGAAGGCCTACGACTTGGGAACGCTTCACCTGAACACGTACAGCTCTCTTCGGCAGCTCAGTTCCCGAACTTTTGGCTACAAAGCCGTCAATCGCAGCTGCTGGGCCTTGCTTCCGAAACACCACTACTTTCTCCACATGTGACATGGCATATAGACACTCATGTTTCGACAACGCGTTTCGTGTTACATATATATACATCCCGGGGATTACAAGTAAACATGCTTAAACCTAGCCTGCGTGCAGCGCAAGCTTCATGCATTCACTGAGATCGATCTGAGGTGCACGGACACCATCATGCGCGATGGCCTCAATCCACGATTTCAGACCCTGTTTGCCGGTGAGTCCTTCATCGGAGAAGTAGGCCGCATCGCCAGGGCGTGCCATAGAGCAAGTTTGCCCCGGCGACTTCTTGAGCGGTACAGAGCTCTTTTCGGCATGCAAGTGCAGCGGCTGGCTTGAGCACACATGACGTGAGTGATACGTACTATATATGTACACAGCTACAGTGCGTGTGTGTTTTGTGCCATATAGCTGCTAGCTGAAGCGCTTCAGCTATCGGATTGCACAGAGGCTGCCCAGGCTGCGAGGAAAATACCTGAAACACCGGCCTCTTGACATTCAAGTTGTTCAGGCTTATAATGGGGTGGGGTGCGACTAGCGATGCTATATATATATATATATATATATATATGTATTGTGTATATTATAGTCATGCAACACACACCCACACACAAAATAGAAAGTACATACATACATACATACATACATACATACATACATACATACATATATACATATATAGACAATACAATATACTTATATATATATATGTAACATGCATGAACGACCCAATTAGATCTAGTGCTGCGCATGTTGATAGATAGCGCTGCTGAGCGCTGCATGCGTGTAAGATATTTGCATATAAAACCTACCACATTTAAAGCGAACCGATCATATGTCAACATAGTGCATGGGCTAAATGTTCAAGGTGGGCGGTGTCAGGGTGTGAGAATCGACATAGGGCTGCTGAGCGCTGCATTCATGTAAGAAATTTGCATAAAAAGACCTACCGCATGCATTTAATAGTCAGCCGGTCATATAGTCAATATAGTGCATGGGCTAAATGTTCAGGGCGGACGTCGTCAGGTTGTGAGAATCGAGATCGAAATCAAAACACATGGAACCAAACTGATACCTTTTTGCACATGCGCGCAGCAGCGCTCGATCATGCATTGGGTTTACGTAGTCATATATTGCATCATCTTTCTTCCAGCCCCCTCGCCACAAGTGTGGTGTGAAAAGAAAAAAAGGAACTTTTCTGTTTCTTTGGACGGGTCCGGTCTTTTGGGAATTTTCCGGAATCGTCTGGGTCCTATGGTTGCTCGTGTGGTCTTCTGCGTGGGTCCTCTGACGCTCGTCCGTGTTCCTCTGGGTCCTCGCTATAGTCCTACTTCTGGCCGGGTCCTCTGTTCCGGTCTGGTTCTCCGCTAGTCCTGGTCCTTGGCCCTTGGCCATAATCCCTCATTTAACATGCCATTTCGACCCTAAACCCTGTAAACCCTAAACCCTAAACCCAAACCCGCTCGAAAGTGCCGAGGATGGCCCCCCCCCTAACCCATGATAACTCATGATGCGAGCATTGCGTTTGCAAATGTGGCGCCGGTCTAACTTCCATATGATGCGAGCATTGTCCTTATAGCGGGAGCTGCTCCCCCAACCCCCCCCAACTTTTTTGAGGCACCTCTCTTGGCCATGCGTGGGAACCTAAACCCAAACACGAAACCCTAATCCCTAGACTACACCCTAAACCAGCAAACTCCAGGGCTCGGAAGCCTTAAACCCAGCCATGGATTAACCCCCAAACCCGGAAAAAGACCCCCCTTGGCCCCTGCTGGCCCCTCGTCCCCGGAAGGGTCAGGGGCCAGCACGTGCCGCACGGGCCCAACATACCGCGGACCCTTAGGGTAGCTAACCATACACACACACACACATTTTAAGCTTACCGTCAGGATTATGGGACTTGTCCTACTGGCGCCCCAAAATTCTTGCCAGAAACAACAGTAGTTGGGTGCCCTATTTGGGGGCGTAGTAAAATAGCTGATGCCTTAAACCCGGAGAGAGCCCTATGACTGAGGGGATTGAATGAGGGACCCTGATCAGGGGAGGCTAACGTACGGGATGCTAGGTAGGCCGGATGTTTTTTTTCTCCTTCTGAGGTTTAAGAGGATTATGCTCGGAATACTTTGTCAGAGGGTGCTAAGTGCCATCCTTGTACATATGAAGTAAGATTTAGGGTTTACCCTGAGCCCGAAACCCTAAACTTTAGGAGCCTCCGGCTCAGGCCGCCGACCCAAGAGGCCCGACCCCCCCCAACCCTCAAACCAGGGTTCGGGGGTTTGAGGCCGTGTTGTGGGAATGGGGGGGTAGAGGCTTCGAACTGTTGGAGTGGTTGGCGTAAGGTTGCAACATAGGCAACCCCCCGTGAAACCTCAACCCTAGTCCCTAAATCCCAAACCCCTAACCCTAAACTCCACACCCTATACCCAGAACCCTAATCCCTCAAGAACCCTCACTCCAGGTTTTGAGCCTCTGTGGGTCTAATGCTCTTGTCTTTAGGGTAGCCTTAGGGCTTTGAGTTCGATTTTTGGGGCATGTTTGGTTGGGCTGTAGGGTATAGGTTTGGGGTTTAGGGTTTAGGAAACGACTATATCTGCTTTGGGGTGTCATGAGCCTCCTTAAAACTCTCCATGAAAAAGTTGTGCGGGGACGTGTGTGGGAGGTGCCGGGTTGAATTGTAGTTTCCTGCTGTGTCCAGCGAAATCTGGCACGATGTGCCGTGGTCCCTAACCTAAACTGTAAGCCCCAACCCCTGAACCCAAAATCCTAAACCCAAAATTAAACCCAAAACCCTAAATTTCGCCAGGGAGTGGGGGGGAGTGGGGGGGGGGGAGGGGAGGTGTTGGGGGGTTGTGGGGAAGGGGGGGGAGGGTGGGGAGGGGGGAGGGGGAGGGTTCCCTCCCAACACGCCGCCGGACCCTAAACCCTAAACCCGAAACCCGAAACCCTAAACCCTAAACCCTTTAGCGTGGTAGGATCAGGGGTTTCCTTCCAGCGCTCCCTGCAAGTGCCATGCGCAAGTGAGGCCCTTGAGCATCGATGATCCCATCGCCTACCACTTTGCAGAAGGTGCCCTAAACCCTGAACCCTAAACCCTAAACCCTAAACCCTAAACCCTAAACCCTATAAACCCTAAACCCTGAACCTTCGAACCATACTTGTTAAAGCAACCTCGACCCTACGCCGAAGATCTTGGAGCCCTAAAGCACTAAACTGTAGCCCTGCAAACTCCAAACCCTAAACTGCATTCGTACAACCCCTAAGTTTCCACCCTACACCCTACCCCTGAAGCTTCACCTTGCAAGTCGACGTCTTCTGCTAGAGTTTAGGGCTTAGGGTTCAGGGTTTCAGGGTTGCTTAGGGTAAAAGACCCGGACCCTCAACCGTAAGCTTAACTTCTCTCCTCACGAGTCGAACCAGAAACTTGTTGGGCTTCCTTTTTCGTGGGAAATCCGTAAACCCTAAACGGAACCCCTCCCCCCGAAGGATGCATGTGCCTACATAGTATACACATGGCCCCTAAAGCTACTCACCCCGATTTAGGGTTTAGGGTTTAGGGTTTAGGGTTTTGCTCTTTATGCAAGCCTCTTTTTCGGTTTTTCGGGCTTTATCCAAGCGTCTTTCAAAGCTCTGACAAGGGAAGCTTCCCACCTGAAACTCTCCTAGAAGTACCCTGAACCTCCCAGTAAACCCCACACACACACAGGTCTCAAACTTTTCTGATCAGTTTTGCGTTTCGGGCTGAGCTGCCTTCAAGCCAAGCCAATCATGCCGTTTCTATGCGAGGGGAGCCCTGGACCCTAAACTCCCAGAACCGTCAGACCCTGTGAATCCATTGTTGCTCAGAAAAATTCCTTTATTGTTTGTTAATCCAATGTTAGCAAGAAGATAAAGGTACATGAAGTTTTTTTAGATATATAATTCCAAGTATACCCTAACTTGGTAGCCCAGTGGTGCCTTTTCGCTTTCTTTTTTTGTCCAAGGTACCCTTCTAAAGCAACCAACCCCAAGCAGGGTGCCCTCATTTTTAATGTGGTTACTGGGCCCTAAACCCTAAACCCTAAACCCTAAACCCTAAACCCTAAACCCTAAACCCTAAACCCTAAACCCTAAACCCTAAACCCATGCGAAGTGGGGAGCCAGGTGCACTGGTGATGCTTTGGCTGGGCACGTTGTGGAATGTGGTCTGGTGCCCAGCTGCCCAGACCTCCCCAAGCCGCAGACCCCTTACACTCAAGATCGACCCTTAGGGTTTAGGGTTTAGGGTTTAGGGTTTAGGGCAGCGTGCTAGTGTTTCAGCTGCTGTGCATTTGGTGGCCGACGATTGGGTTAGAAGGGCTTAGAGGTGTAGTTTCTAGGGGTTTAGGAGTCTAGTGAGTTCAGTCGTAAGGGCTTTGGGGTGTGTCTGTTGAAGGGTTTTTGGGTTTAGAGCCGGGGTTTGAGTTTCTACTGTTCCGGGCCTTTGTTCAGTTTCAGAGCTGGGTTGTCGAATCAAGAAACCTATCGGTCCTAAAGCCCCCAAAAGGTTGCTCGTACTGGGTAGGCCTTAAACCCTAAACCCTAAACCTCCCTTGGGTTTTGCTTACTTTCCCCTCTGACGTTCAAGAGGATGAAAAGTTCGTAACTTCTTCGGAGGGTTTACAGGGCCAGCCTCCGTATAGGGTTTACGGCTTAGAGTCCTTGTGTCTGCGCCGGTCTAAGCGTAAGTACACGGGCCCTTAATGTAGTTCCTTAGTATGGGCCCTTAGTTTGTACAGGGTACATAAAGGGGTATATAGGGGGTCCCCTCTAAAGGGCACAGACTAAGGGACCATGCAACTACCCCAAGAGCCGAAGGAGGGTTTAGGGTATAGGGTTTAGGGTTTAGGGTTTAGGGTTTAGGGTTAACTTTAGGGCTAGGGTTGAGGGTCCGATGACCTCTAAGTTGATCAGTCCATAAAGCGTGGCTTCAGGAAGTTTCGGGTTTAGATGTTGGGTTTAGGGTCTAGGGCCCTGACAGCCACAGTCTGTATACCATATAAATATTTTTGTATATATATATATGTATATATATGGTGTATATATATATATATATATATATCTAGATTCACTATTTGGCTTAAGAACCACCAGAAGAATGAAGGATAATAATCCCGCTTGTGCCCTTGTAAGGAAGTATGATTTTGTTCTTGGGGGGGTGTTCTTAAGCAAACCGGAGACCGCCAGCTCAACTGCTTTCTGGAGCAAGACAGTCCTGCTAAAAACCACTAACCCTTTAAAGGGTCTTGGATCTTGGGTACCCCCCCCCCCCCCCCCCCACACCAAAAAAAAAAATGTACTCGGAGCCAAGGCCAAGAGAGACCATGCGCTCATCAGCACCATGTTCTACCATGAGACGTTCACAAGGCCAGGGTTTAGGGTTTAGGGTTTAGGGTTTGGGGTTTGGGGTTTGGGGCTTGGGGTTTGGGGTTTAGGGTTTAGGGTTTAGGGTTTAAGGTTTAGGGTTTAGGGTTTAGGGATTCCAAAACCCTCCATTCCCCTTTCGAAGGCCGCAGCGATTGCAGTGCTTCATCGCCCTCTTGACGGGCCTGCTGGCAGTCAACGCGGCCATGGACTTGGCTCCAGGGATTCGGGCCTTTGGGGGTTTGGGGTATAGGGTTCAGGGTTTAGGGTGTGGGGTTTATAGGGTTTAGGGTTTAGGGCTTCGCACTTCGTTATTTTGCCGTTCTCTTGTAAACTGCTATTTGCTGAACAACCCCCCCCACCCCCCCAAAAAAAGAAAGTTATCAACAACAAAAACAACATATTCCTGCATGGACAAAATCGGGATTGTTGTCTTTCGGATTTTTGTAGTGTTCTTAAGCAAATAGCTAGTATAAACAAAGCGAGCACCCTTTGTATTCCTAGGTTCCGCAGCTTTCCACCCCGCACCTAGCCAGCAAGCACCAAAACAAAAACGTAAACTCCAAACCCGAAACCCTAGATCCTAAACTCCCCAAACCCTAAACCAGCCCAGACCCGGGACTTCCCAGGCAGTTCATAGTCATCCTGGCACGATCCAGGAAGCCAAGGACGGTTTTTTGGGTTTCAGGGCTAAGGCTTGGGTTTGAGGTTTAGGGTTTAGGGTTTAGGGTTTAGGGTTTAGGGTTTAGGGTTTAGGGTTTAGGGTTTAGGGTTTAGGGTTTAGGGTTTAGGGTTTGTTTATAGGGTTTGGGAATATAGTCTTACAAAATACCTTATTCCGTGCTACAGGTCTGTGGCTTAGGGTTCCTTCTAGGTACGAAAGTTTACGGCTTAGGGCCTTGGGCTTAGGTGTGGGTTTAGGTTTGCGGGTTGTGCTTCTAGAGTTTTTGCTTTGTTTTTCTCTCCCAGGGAGTGCAGCGCCCGCGGGAGCTGGAGAGCTGAGATTTTGGAGTTTGGGTTTCGGGTTTCGGGTTTGGGGGGTTTAGGGTTTAGGGTTTAGGGTTTAGGGTTTAGGGTTTAGGGTTTAGGGTTTAGGGTTTAGGGTTTAGGGTTTAGGGTTTAGGGTTTAGGGTTAGGCGGTTTGCTCTTAGCCCTCCTGTTCAGATGGCGGACAGTAGCCAGGGATTTCCTGAGAGCAACACCTCAATAGCGAGGGCTTTCTGCTCCTGAGTTGCTCACCTGTGAGTTTGGTCTGCGGGAGAGGACCCTATAGGCTTGTAAGTTGTAAGAGATCTAAACCGTACATCCTAAACCCCAAACCCTAAACCCCAAGGCCCCAACCCTAGACTCGCGAGCCTGAAGCCTTTCCCTCGAAGTAATGTAGGGGAAGGGGGATCAGGATCTCCACTCGAGCCCCCCTTCACGCTAGGGTTTTGGGTTTAGGGTTTAGGGTTTAGGGTGAGAGGCTAGGTTGTCGGGTGTAGGGTGAGAAGAAATCAAGGAGTTCATCATCACCGGCCTACTCTCCGGCTTACTCGTGTTCCCGGTGTTCTGCGGGCTCGTGATGATGCGCGGGCCCCTACAACAAGGGGCCCTAAACGCAAAACCCGAGTAAGGTGCAAAGTTGTAAGGGGAAGATATTTTCCCTGAAGCCCTAAACCCTAAACACTAAACCCTAAACCCGAAACCCTAAACCCTAAACCCTAAACCCTAAACCCTAAACCCTAAACCCTAAACCCTACATGGTTTTTCTCTCTGCTTGTCGACGTGCGCATCCTGTTTTCCTCTTGCAGGATTAGCTGCAGTCATGGCTTTTTCGGCAGGACAAGGTGCTTATAGTTTAGGGCTTCGGGGAATGTGGTGTTTAGGGTTTTGGGTTTTGGGATTTAGGGTTTAGGGTTTAGGGTTTACGGTTTAGTAGGCTTTTATGGGGTCGAGGGGGAGGTTATGGGGTCTGCTGGGTTATGGAGCTTTAAGGTTTCGGGTTTTTGTGGTTTGATGAGGCGCATGGGGTTTATGGAGTTTGGGGTTGAGGGGCCTGAAGGCGACCGTTTTGGGATTTAGGGTTTCGGGTTTAGGGTTTAGGGTTTAGGCCCTGGCTGGCCGAGGTTCAACCTTCGCCCGGCGCAGGTGAAGAAGCGGCTGATCAAGAGGGCTCCGCCCTCAGGGACTCCTAGGGTTCTGGCGGGTTCAGGGTTTAGGGTTTAGGGTGTAGTCTTTAGGGTTTAGGGTTTAGGGTGTAGGGTGTAGGGTTGAGGGTTGAGGGTTGAGGGTTGAGGGTTTTATTCTGGGGTTCAGGGTTGAGGCCCTTGAGTTAGGGTTTAGGCTTATGTTCTGCTGTCGGTCTTGCCTGGGCAATCCCAGAAAGGCCTCAACCCTGAACCCTGATCCCAAAGCCCCCAACGTCGTGAAGGGTTTAGGGTTTAGGGTGTAGGGTTTTAGGGTGTAGGGTTTTAGGGTGTAGGGTTTAGGGTTTAGTCTTTAGGGTTTAGGGTTTAGGTTTAGGGTTTCCAAGATCAAGAGGCTTACTCCACCAAAGAGATCGACAAGCTCAACGAGCAGCGGCAGCGCTTGGCCAACCAGTCGTCTGCGGCTCAGGGCTGACATGTAAGCCCGAAACCCTAAACCCTAAACCCGAAACATCCTAGAAATTAAAAGCCTGGACCTCCAAACGGACCCCAAAAATAATAATCCTCAATGGAAGCTCACCCCTAAACCAAAACCGTTAACCCCGAAACCACAAACCCTAGACCCTGAACCCTGTACCCTAAACCCTAAACCCCAAACCCCAAAACCCTAAACCCCCAAACCCCTAAACCCTGAACCCCGAACCCTAAACCCTAAACCCTAAACCCTAAACCCTAAACCCTAAACCCTAAACCCTAAACCCTAAACCCCTACCCAGGACCATGCTTCCGCCTCCGGGCTACATGGCCGGAAGCCCAAGGACTGAGGCCTTCAGCGGTTTAGGGTTCAACTGGGCTTTGGAGTGCTATACTTTAATTCTTTTTTGGATCTGGGTTCCCATTATAGCTTCCCATTATAGCTACTTATACCTAAAAAGTATATACCTTTTTTTCCAGGGTCTACTCCAAAGCTAAGTCAAGGTTAAGGGCTTGGGGGGGGGGGGGGGGGGGGGGGGGGGGGGGGCTGAGCCTTTACCCTAGGGGTCCCTGCACCTCATTCTGATATACTTGGGCCCCAAAATCCCTACATAAGAGGCACTTTATGGCCCAAGTATTCCCCTATTTAGGTACCTGGGCCCGTAAGGTAAGCCGTTAAGCCTTAACCCAACACTCTCCATCTAAGCTGGCTCCAAAAATACCGGAGATCTTCAGGGCTTAGGGTTTAGGGTTTAGGGTTTAGGGTTTAGGGTTTAGGGTTTAGGGTTTAGGGCTTCAGCCTGCGGAGGAAGTCTTTTTCTTGCTGTGCAGCTGTGGGAGCGTCCACCATCAAATTTTGTGTAACCCTGGACTTGATTGAGACTTCCTACCATTTGCTTAAGAACCTCCCAAAATTAAAAGATGCTGATCCCTATGTTTCCCTTTTGAAGAAGATGTTGTTTTTTTTTTTTTTTGGGGGGGGGGGTGTTCTTAAGCAAATAGTAGCTTCAGCGTATAGGCGGCAAAGGGCTTGCAGGTATACATGCGGCTAGGGGTGGGGTGGGCTGGAGGTGGGGCGGTGGGTTCTGTGGGTGGCGGTGGGCGCGGAAGAGCCCTCATGCTGCGTGGCTAGGGTTTGGGTTTACTTTGAGTAAAGCGCCAGAGGTACATGTAGACTTTGCGACAGGCGGTGAACTTTAAGAGCACCCCCCCCCCCCCAAAAAAAAAAAAAACAAGGTGCTCTTATGATAACCTGATTTCTGGGCTACCAAGTTCAAGTACGGTAAAACCAACACCGGCAAAACCTAAACATGCCCGAGGGCCCGAGGATGTTCTGTCTCAAACCTTATTTCCAGTGCCCAAGCTCTTTTCCCGGAATCCCAGTTTGTAAGGCAGAACCCTCAGCCGTAAGCCCGAAAACCAAATCGTAGGAAGAAGCCAAGCAGACTAAAATCTCAAGGCCCGACACACCCCCAAAACTCCAAACCCTCAAGCCCTCCCAGAGGGTTCAGGGTTTAAGGTTTAGGGTTTAGGGTTTAGGGTTTAGGGTCCCAAAACCTCCAACGCGCCCGTTCTCACACACCTGAGCCCCCAAATCCTCAAACCCGAAACCGCAAAACCCCAAACCCGATCATCCTTCAAATCCTGAAACCCTAAACCCTAAACCCTAAACCCTACAGAACCATGGAGCTACCCTAAGAAGCAGTGAGGCCAACCCGCCTCCTCTGTCCAACCCGCCCGGCGCAACCACGCTGCTGAGCCTGCCAGTACCCCAGAGCCGTCCGCGCAGGGTTTATAGCGTTTAGGGTTTTAGGGTTTAGGGTTTTGGGTTTAGGGTTTAGGTTTAGGGTTAGGGTTTAGGGTGCAGGGTGTAGGGTTTAGGGTTTGGGTTTATGGGTATCAGAAAGTGTGTATCAAGGGATTCAAGGCGGGATTCGTATAGGGGACTTCAGAAGTTATCTAGGGGCTACTTGATTTTATAGGGACGATACAAGGTATATATAGGGCTTGTATAGGGGAATCAGACTGAAGGTCCCTCCTAGGGGTCCCGCCTTATACCCCTTAAGTCCAGGTATGGATTTTATAAGTTAGGGTTTAGGGTTTAGGGTTTAGGATTTGGGGTTTAGGGTTTAGGGTTTAGGGTTTAGGGTTTAGGGTTTTGCTTCGACCTGGCTTTTGAGGGTACCTTTGCCAGCAGAGCTCTTGTACTTCCATCGCCAGTTCAGGTACCAACAATTCACCTCTCATGCGGGTTTAGGGTAGGGTTTAGGGTTTAGGGTTTAGGGTTTAGGGTTTAGGGTTTAGGGTTTAGGGTAGGGCTCATGCAATATGATTACTGACTTCGGGCTCGCTAGAAATCCAAGATCTTCCGCTTCCATCCCCAAACCCCTACAAAGACACCACACTTTCCCTGACTTTGAGAAGAAGCCAATGTGGTAATCGGAATATTGCCGTATGATTTACTACGTTTACTACTTTTGCGTGCCTCATTGAAGAACTTCTTGGGCGCGAGAATGACAGAATATTAACAAAGTGAAGAGAAGAATAACACCAAATACGAAAGGAGCGCTCAATCTTTCACTCGTTGGTTTCTTGTAAAGAGCCAGAAGCAAATTACCTGCATGAATCTTGTATCCTTCATTCGTTTATTCAATACGGGCGTTTAACGAAACTGCTACAAAGCGATCGTCCCAAAGTGGCAACTGAGGACTAGTTGAGTTAAGTTCAAGCTCCTTTAAGCAAACCTGTAAGCTTAGCACAACCAACCCCTAATCTTGAACCCTTCAAGGAGCCCACCCTAAACCCTAAAGCCCTAAACCCTAAGCTCTAATCCCTAAACCCTAAACCGTGAACATTAAACCCTAAACCCTAAACTCCGCCTCAAGCGGAGTTTCACGGGCCTCTCACATGGTCCCTTGCCTCCTCTAAAACGACTTAAGGGCTACCCTTGAAAGGGCCCAAATTAAGGGACCATGCAACTACCATAAGACTTGCCGGTCTTTGGGTTGCTGCTTCTTCTTCTCAGGACTGTTGGCTTGCTTAGAGTTTCGGGCTAAGGTCTTAGGGACTGGGGGCTTTTGCGTTGGGTTTTTGTTTGTTGGCGTGTTGGGTGCATATGGGGTGTTCTTTGTTGTTTGTGTGTTGTTGTCCTTTAATATCATGATCAGGGGCTTTAGACTGTTCCTTGCCCAGAGGGTCCAGATACCCTCTCTTTATGGTTTGGGCCCAAAAAAGCCCTTGAGATTGTGGTTTGTTGGGGCCTAATACCATAAATACAGGGTACTTGCACCCTCTGGGTTGTCCTTAAACCCTAAACCCTAAACCCTAAACCCTAAACCCTAAACGCTGAAGAGTTTCAGGGTTCCAGGTTGTGGCCTTGGTATAATCGAGGCCGGCGCCGCTGCCTTTGCCAGTGCTGCCTCCTGGGATGATCGGAACGCCCGGAGCCGAGCCGCGGTAGTTTCAGGGTCTTTAGGGTTTTAGAGTTTTAGGGTTTGGGGTTCCGGGTTCTGGGTTTCGGGTGGAAGGGTTAAGAGCTTTTGGATGTTCATGGTTCACCCTCCATCCCAAACTGTACGCTTGCATGTGATTAGGCCCGCTAGATAGGGTTTGGGTTTGGGGCTGCCCCGAAAACCTCTTCCCGAAACCCGAGCCCCCTATGCCCCAAACCCAAGCCCCGAAAGCCAGTAGCAAACCGCTGCTGTTTGCAGAGGCCCCTCGCTCTCTGGACCCCCAAAACCCTAAACCCAAAAACCCTAAACTCCAAACCCTAAGCCCTAAACCCTAAGCCCTAAACCCTAAGCCCTAAACCCTAAACCCTAAACCTAAACCCTAAACCCTAAACCCTAAACCCCCAAACCGAGGCAGCAGCACTTGCAGCTGCCGCCATCCCAGGGGTTGGGGGCGAACCTTGCGCTCCCCGCTGTGCCAGGGACACCGGGTAGGGGTTTAGGGTTTAGGTTTAGGGTTTAGGGTTTAGGGTTTAGGGTTTAGGGTTTAGGGTTTAGGGTTTAGGGTTTAGGGTTTAGGGTTTAGGGTTTAGGGTTTAGGGTTTAGGGTTTAGGGTTTAGGGTTTAGGGTTTAGGGTTTAGGGTTTAGGGTTTAGGGTTTAGGGTTACTATAGGGTTTAGGGTTTCGGGTTTGGGGTTTAGGGTGTAGGGTTACTATAGGGTTGAGGGTTTTGGGTTTAAGGTTCAGGGTTGCGAGTTCAGGGTTTAGGGCTTAGGGTTTAGGGTTACTCGGGTTTGGGGGGGTTGAGGGCTTCTTATATAGGGTTTCAGGTTTTATGTGTTTAGGGTTCAGGGATTTGGAGGCTTGTTTACGGGTGAGGGGTTTTGGGCTTTGTTAGGGGTTCGGGGTTTAGGGACTCTAGGGTGTCAGAGTTTAGGGCCTTATCGTGCATGTAATTGACAAAGGGATTCGGGGTCTCGACGTGGGCTTTGTAAGGAATCAGTTGGGATGATCTTCCCCCTTTGTGCTAACTAGTCCTTAGTAGGGATTAGAGTACCCCTATGATAATCCCTTATAAGGACTATTATAATCCTTATAAGGACTATTATAATCCCTTATAAGGACTACTATAATCCTTTATAAGGACCCTTAGTATAGGGGGGGGAACATCCCAAGGAATCAGGGTTGAGGGTTTATAGGGGTTGGGAGTTGGGAGCCTATTAGGACTTGCGGTTGCTGCTCAAGGGCCTCTCAGGGCCTTTTGCCCCATCTCTGGAATTATGCTGGGGTTTAGGGTTTAGGGTTTAGGGTGTAGGGTTCAGGGCTTAGGGTGTTTTAGGGTTTTTGGTTTAGGTTTCTTTTTCTTAGGTTTCTGCAGAGAGTTGGACGTATACGTCACTCCCTAACTTGCACGCTTCTGCGGCGTGTCTTCTAGTCTAAACCCTGAACCCTAAACCACAAACCCTAAACCCTAAACCCTAAACCCAAAATCCCGAAGCCCTAGACCCAAAACCATAAACCGCAGACCCTAAACCCTGAATCCCCAAACACTAATTAATCCCCACATAATAAACCCTGAACCCCAAACCCTAAACCGAACAATCTTGCAGGATGTCTGGTCGATTGCCGCTGCCGCCACCCCCAAAGTATCCTCCGCCGCCGAAGAACGCCGGAGCCCTCAGCAGCTTCACGGTTCTGGGGGGTGTTTGGAGTTTAGGGTTTGGGTTTAGGGGTTTAGGGTTTAGGGTTTTAGGGTTTTAGGGTTTTAGGGCTTTAGGGTTTTAGGGTTTTAGGGTTTTAGGGTTTGGGGCTTAGGCGGTTTTAGGGCGAGGGGGTGGGAGGAGGTGGTTAGGGTTTAGGCTTTGGCATTTGGGGTTTAGGGTTTTCTATAATAGGGCTTGGGGGGGAAGCTCCACGCCGTTGTCGGGAGGGCTGAAGGTACGGCGGCTTTAACTATTACAGGGGGTTCGATAAGGAACAGGGTGGGTTAGAGTCAGCCGGTGGCGGAGAGCTGGGGATTGAGACCCAATCTAAGAACTCTCATCTTTAAGGGGGGTTGTTCGAAATCAAGGGACTCGTGGACCCCGAACCCTAAACCCTAAGCCGCGCTACCAGAAAGTACCCATGGATAACGTCGATCCTCGCATGTACCCTACATCAAGGTCCAGTCTGGCGTCTAGCCCCCCGAACCCTGGACCCTGCTACACATCTAAACCTCAAAGCTTCACCCTGACCCTAAACTGCAAAGTCCGAAATAACCCCTAAACCCCTCACCATTACGATTGAGGCTTACAGGGTTCAGGGGTTTAGGGTTCCAAATTTTGGGCAAGTGTCGAGGGAAGTGAGTCGACGCCCAGGCAAGCACGGCCACACCTGCTGGCATGCTGTCCGACCCTCATGGGGGAGCGGGGCAGCTGCAAGCCAAAACCCTATGACGGTTTAGGGTTCAGGGGGTTAGGGTTTAGGGGTTTAGGGTTTTAGGGTTTAGGGGATTCCTTCTAACGAGAGCTAGCCCGAAATGCACCTACGAGATCTCGAGAGCATGACAAGGCTGCGAGCTCATGTGCCACTTGTGGACCGTGTTCATCCCACCCTACAGTCCACACTTCGTAGGGTCTTGGGTCTTGGGTTTTGGGTTTTGGGGGGTTTATCTAGGGTTTTCTAGGGTTTGTTTTTTCAAGT